TTTTAATAGAGAATTAATTTTTATGTTTCTAATGCAATTTTTTTTTGATGAAGTTATATTTTATTATGTAAGAATATGCCACAATAAAATCCACTGTTCTTGCCTTTCTGTACAATGAGTAAAATTGCATGAATAAAATTGAAAATTAATAAAACAGAAATTTAAATCTAATGCAATTTTTAATCCTAAGAATGCCCAGATCATGTGTATGTTAGGACTGATGAGCCTTAAGTCAAGATATTTGGTGCATATGAATGATCTCTGTTCCAACTATAAGAACTGAACACCATCTTGAAGATTTTCTTTTCTTTTTTTTTTTTTCCTCAAACACTGAGCCACATCCCCAGCCCTTTCTTTTGTATTTTATTTAGAGACAGGATCTCACTAAATTACTTAGTGCCTCACTTTTGCTGAGGCTGGTTTTGAACTCACAGTCCTCTTGCCTCAGCCTCCCAAGCTGCTGGGATTACGGGCATGTGCCACCGCTCCCAGCCTTACCTTGATGATTTTCAAGAGTGCCTTTGCTAGAAGCAAATGTGAAAACCAGAGGTGGCAATCAACTCAAAATATTTTAAAAGAACTTAGTGCAAAATCAATTTTGTTATTTCCTGTGGTATTTGAGGCATCTCATTTTTCAGATAATTGTTTAATTTTTAAAGACTATTGCAGTTAGAGTGCACGGTCGAGTCTGTATTTCAGCTAAGTCCCCCAACTGAGAAGTAAATTAAAGAACTTAACGATAATCCCCATGATATTTTGAATTTCGATATTTATTGAAGCCGCATAACAACAAAGCAGCTTCTCTACTTTTGCCACAAATTTTGTACCAGTCTTCTACATCCCTTTCTAATTCTGACAAGTATTGTATGCCGGAGACTGAGACAAAGTCAGGACTAGGGCTCAGGAAAATGTCAGGGTGGCAGAGACTGGTAAGCATTCATTAGCACATTTGGCAAACTCCTTTGTGGTTATATGTGCCCAACACATATATTACCTTTGCACTCACTTGATATAAATGAGAATTATATAAAATAAAATAAGTAGAATTTTAAGAGAGCTTTAGAAGTAATATTTCCAAAGATGATGAAGCCATGGGGTAGAAGAAAACTGCATCCCTTGGATATTGACTGGAACAAAGCTACCCACAAATCAAGAGCAAACATTTTGGATTTAACATTCAAAAAATGAACTGTCATGTTTGAGCCTTTATATTTGGGGGAATTTTTATATTTTAATTTTGGTTATAGCAGCAAAAAAGAAACGTTAGTATTCTTTTATCTTAGTAATATTTTTCTCTGGAGACATTAAAATTGGTACTATTCTAGAGCAGTCATAAATTCCCAAACTGCTTTCCTCCTCGCCTCTGATATACTCTGCTGAAACCTATGAGATGCACAGGAAGTAGGATGATTGTGCTGGAGAATATGGTTGATGGAATTTTCCAAATTGCATATCGGTCAGAAAATATTAAAAGCTACATTAAGATAAACTTAAGTATCTGATCTCACTGAGATTTGCCAAATAACATCCTGCCCTTAAACCTGTCTTACTAAAGTATACTTGATTCTCTAGAGAGATATTTAGTTAAGAAAGTTGAGTAGAGTACATTAAAAACAAAATAAGTCAAAGTGTTAATGTGCTCTTTAGAAAGTTTTCCCACACAGTGCAAAGTGTGTGGGAAAACTGTGTACATGATTTGCCGTTCTCAATAGTGTAGCCTGAACAAAAATAATCTTATAAACCTGAAAATGCCCAGTAGCCTTTACTTTTATGTTTGCATACAGGTACCTAAAATTCTGACAGCATATTGGGTTATTTTAAGTAAAGACCAGCTCACTCTACTCAGGCCTTCTGGAATGTTCTCAGTTCTGTTTCCCTGTAGGCCTATGGATGTGTGAGGGCTGGGAATGCATGCCAAATGGCTTAGTGTTATCAGGGTCCCTAATATCCAATTCATTTGTATATGGCACCCGTGCATTAGAACAAATTGCTAAAAATGCTATAAAAAAGAGTTATTGTAAGGTTATTGAGGTTCTGATAAGTGATTGATGCCTTAATTAGGCCTGTTAATAGCCTTCATAGTGGTGGATTGTAATAACTGAACAGTCAGGTTGGGATTTAGGGTCACTATATTAGTTTGTTGAGTGCCACAAATGAGGTTTCCTCTTCAGAACCAAATTATAATTTTATAGCTAACTCATAAACTTAACTCAGCTCAAATACTATTTAAAAGGCTCAGAGAGGTGCTTATTTACCAAGCATTGAGCCACTAAGCTCTGGGCTGTAAAACCTGAACTTCAGCTATTAGAACCCTTACTCTTTGCTTGATAATAACTCCATTTTAAATACTGATGCACATTTAATAAAAAAGAAAAGGTAAATTATGCTACACTAAAAAGTTGTAAGTACACACATGCTAGTATAAAGTTACAATCTTCTCTATCAATTAGAAGAAAAATGAATAAGTGCTTTCAGTTTTCTGTGTTCCTATTTAGGTTAAGCCGAATTTTAATCAATAGTGAGACACATAACAAATATATTTGGTATGAAATCTCTATGAGAAAAGAAAAATCACTAGTTAAAATTTGACAATATGGGAGAATCACATTCACTCTCTTAAAATTCTACTTATTTTATATAATTCTACATCTGATTTATAAAGAACCCAGTGTCCATCACATAATATACACAAACATTTATTTTGTTAGTAAAGGAACACAAGCCTGCTTCAAGTATGTTCCAACCATTGTGTACTTGCTATTCTGTTTTTATTAAATTTTGTTCCTAAAGAAGTTTTCAGTTTGTCCATATATATATATATATATATATATATATATATATATATATATATATGATCAATTGAGCCAAATAGTGCCTGTGGGTAGGTAAATCCAGAATTGCTTGGTTCACTTTATAGAGACACTTTATAGAGACTTTAAGATAGATACTCTTTTGGTCAGTACAAATCTGTGAGAGTTCTTACTATGCAACAAATTTGTACCTTAAATCCTATGCTTGGATTCTGTGCACTAAATCTTCTGAAAAGTAATTCTCATAGCATATTGATAGAGTAAGTGAGCAAACTGGGAAGATATCATATAAAAGGAAGTTTTACAAACATTGGCCCTTCTGTTTTGCAAATGAAGGCAAGATGATAACTGACCCCCACTTATTGGTCCCTGACACTTAAGATCAGACTGGTTTGCCAATCCCCACATGTGTGGAGAACATATTAGCAACTGAAAGGAAGCACTTGATGGTATGAGAAAGGTTTTCAGAGAAAGTGGTAGTGAAAGGAAGGCTGGTGAGATAGTACTCTTGAATCTACAGCAGATTGTAAAATATTCCTAGCACATGTATGCATAGACAACCAAATGCAACATAAAGAATCCTTAACAATATTATAAATAACCAGACTGCCATTTTCAGGATGAGTATTAGCATACCGTATAACTAGGATGATAAAACAAAAAGTAGGTAATAGAACATTAATTTGCTATGAATTTTTTTTGGAGGGGGGTACTAGGGATTGAACTCAGGGGCACTTGACCATTGAGCCACATACCAAACCTATTTTTGTATTTTATTTGCTTAGTGCCTTCTTTTTCTGGGACTGGCTTTGAACTTGTGATCCTTCTGCCTCAGCCTCCTGAGCCTCTGGGATTGTAGGTGTGTACTACTACACCTGGCTAATTTACTATGACTTTTGACAAAATATAGGCTTAGACTCTATAATATTTTTGTATACATTGAGCTTATTTCTACCAGTTTAATTTTAAATCATTTTGGGTGTTTAGATATTACAGAAATCATACAGCAACTTTGTTTTGGAGTTGTTCATTTCAAAGTATGATGGACGTTTATTTGTTTATAAATAATTTTGAGAGCTTACCATTTGTTCAAGCATAGTGAAAAAAAAAAAAAAAAAACAACCCCACAATACCACAGTGAAGATTCAGATACATACAGCCTGTAGTCAAATCCTGAAACCAGCACTTCCTTGATGAGTGACCATAGACAATTCAAAACTACCGGAAACCTTAACTTCTACCCTTTTAAAATTTGAATAATTCTTTGAGTTGAATTGAGAATTAAGTGTTTAAAAATGTGATCTGCCTAGTATATTGTGTATATGGCCTAATGCGGCGTAAACATTTTAGATCTTTATTATTATAAAGAGAAAGTTATATTTCTTGTCATTAAAGAACATATACTTTAATGGGAAATGAAAAAGTTATATAACAGAGGTGTACAAACACTTTTTAGAAGTATGATGGACATATGATACAGGGCATATGCCCTAAGTCATTTAGTGATGATAGATAGGTAATGGCCTTGAGTTCTATCTCAGGCCAAAGCCCTCTGCCAGTTGAATATTCAAGAATAACATAGTAAAGAGACAGTAGAATTCAACTACTAAGCCTGGATTCTGATCTGGGAAGTGGATAACACAGTGAAGACATGAAATCAGATATAGATTTCAATTCTGGTTCCAAAAAATACTGTCTGTTTAATCCAGAAAAGTTGGATGAGCATTTCTTGAACCTTCTTGCTCAATTTCTTTTTCCTAGATATGATTTCCATACAGGGAATGATATTCATGCTTAATATCTGGAAGTTTTGTTTTGTTTTGTTGTACTGGGGATTTAATCCAGGGGTGTTTACCATTAAGCTACATCTCCAACCTTTTATTTTTTATTTAGAGACAATGTCTCCCTAACTTGAGTAGGTCCTTGCTAAATGCTGAGACAGCCTTGAACTTGCGATATACTCCTTCCTTAGCCTTCCGAATGGTAGCTATTTTTTAATCATATTTTAATATGAAAAATACATGGCGTACATGATACTTGAACATTTATTTTACAGTCTTTGTTATATCTTTAATGCTACTAAAACAAAAGTCTCAATTCTTTAGCATACTCCATGGATCACTTTAGACATCATTTCTGCCTTCAACTCCAGACCATTTTTTTTTTTTTAAATCTTTGCACACCTTGATTAGCCCTGCAAATGCAAGGCCTCAAAAAATTGGGTTAAGACTCAGAATTATTCCTCTCCTTGGAAATCTTCAGTAAAAGGTGAAAGATTTATACAATCTGAAGAGAAACCAGAATATTCCAGGCCATTTTTATTTCTTTCTCTGAATCCCCAAATACCCCATGCAGTGTCCTATCACCCCTCTATGACTGCACATGCTGCTGTTTCTCAGTAGGTCTTACCTCAAACAAAAAGACCCATTCATGAATTTTCCCTCCCCGAAACACTTTTCATTCCTCCACCTCTACATGAAGGGAGATGGATGCTGTTCTCTGCTCCAAGGCACTCGTGCCTTTTTATATCTTGACATTTTTCATAACAGTTTCTATATTTTTCACTCTCCTTGACTCACACAAGGAAAGACCATCTTCTATACCTGCCTCTTAGACACTTGGCTCTGAAGTGACCACATAGAAATGGCCCATTTAAGGACTGTAGAATGAATCCACCAGAGTTCCTAGGAAATTAAAACATAAGGGTGAGCAGAACTGGTGTTTGGATTTGAAATATGCTTAAGGGATTTGCCCAGAAATTTTCATTCCTTGGAAAACTCTTATATATCTGTAAACAAAAAAATCTTGGTATAACACAAATGTCTCTTTGGCTTGGGGAGCAGAGGAAGCTGTCAGTTAGGAGACTGTCACTCCCGACTGGTTTTTGCTGAAGCACAAAAAATTTATACTTTTATACAAATAATTTATTCTTACCCATTTCAGGCTCTTATTGTCAGGGAATTTTTAGATTAACCACAAATGATATATTTTTCAAATGTATTATCTACTTCCCATTATATACAAGGACTTCTGAGTCCAGATGTTTTTTGAACTAAAATCCTCTGGGAAAACTAAACATCTGATATACTCGAACTACATTGTTTAATTAAACTTAGAACACATATTTTTTTCTCTTTTATGTCTGCCAAAATAATTAATTTCTTTTGGTTGAAATTTCACACATAATCTCTTTTCTTCCATATAATTGAAAAGGCCTGACTCCTGAGAGTTATTAGCTTACCCCCATCCTCCATGGACAATATTGTACTGTTCTAGGTCAAAGATCTTTAGGTTGATTAAAAGCAAAAATTATACAATTTTATAGAAGAGAAAACAAAGGTACAAAAAGTGAAGTAATTTGTGAAAAATTACACACCTTGTAAACACAAAGCCAAATTCAAAAACATTGAGGCTAATTTTAGAGTAGAAACTCAAATCACCCTCTGGACTCTGTATTAGTCATCTTTGATGTCCTAAGCACCTGGCATTACCAATGCTAATTTAGTAAGTGGCATGTATATGGAAGAATTTTCTCTGACTTCCTTTAACCAGTTCACAGAGTTAACATATTTGAGTAAAATAAAAATGATTAGTGTCCTTGTGTTTCTCTCCCCTCTATTTGAAATGCTTTTTTTATGCCTGTTGAAACTTGCAATTTAATTACATCATTTCATAAGGAGGGAATGAGCTGATTAAATAGGATCATAAAAATAGTACTTTCTATTAAAAGCAAATTAATGTTTTTGTTAGACCTTTAGATGAGCTACCAAAATAATCACCTTGTAAAATAACCTTGAAAAAAACAATGTAAAAAATTGGAAAAAATATTAATTACAGAGAATATGGGAAAATACTTACCAAGTATTTAAGTTTTAGTATACAAATTTTAAAAAGTTAACATATACTCATTCTACTTTTCTCATTGGAAAGTATAGTTGATGCATTATTAACATGGTTATGCAAAAAAATGTTAATTCTAATCAATAGTAAAATATTTGGAACTTATGTAAAAATTTTTTGCATAAATAGATATGTTAAGTTATTTGAAACAGTTATGCATCTATTTTAAAATTTTTTCTCTTATTTTATTTTCTCATGGTAAACCATTTATTGAACACTTACCCTATGTTTTATATATGTTTCTGAATATAGATTTCAAAGTTAAATAATTTAGCAATCATCAATTTTTAATAATCACTGTTTCAAGAACATTTAATGCCCTGTATCCAGCATTCACTCCCCTCTTCTTTCCTACTTAATCCTTGGCAACCACCAAGCTACTTGTTGTCTCTATTTTCAGGACATTTTATATTAGTATTTATTATTTTATATTTTAAATATAGTATATAAACTTTTATGTCTGGATTCATTCATTTATTGTATTTTCAAAGTTCATCTATATCGCTGCATGTGTCCATACTCTATTTTTCTGGCCAAATAATCCATTGTATATGTATGCCACAGATGGAACTTGAAGAATGACAGTGGAAAACTGTAAACTTAGGTATAGATTCAAATTGCAGCTATTGTCCCAGATGTGTTTTCATTGCTTGAGCAAATTAACATATCCCCTGGTACCTGGTATGCAGTTATGAACATGGCAAATGTTGTTTTCACAGTAACTATTAATAAAGACCACCAAAAGCAGTGCTTTCAGCTGCCAAGACCAGCGGAACAACTCCATTGTCCTTCCTCAAGGGAATATCAATTTTAAAGCCCTGCTTCATAATTTAATCTTCAGGGAACTTGATTGTCTTTCCATTCCTGAAGACATCAGGTTGGTCTACTACATGTATGGCATTATGTTGACTGTACTTGGCAAGAAGTGACAATCGCTCTGGATTAATTGGTAAGATATTCGCACAGCAGGTAAGGGGAAAAGCAATTGATAAAAATTTAGGGGTCTTGTACCTCAGTGAAAATACTGGGATCTACTTGGATAGGGCAAGCAAGATATCCCTTGTAAGTTAAAGGATTAAATTTTTGCATCCTGCCTTTCTATGATCAAAAATTAATAAAATACACAACATACCTAATGGGCCAGATTTGGAATATAGAAATTATATGCTTCTTCCTCACGTGTCACTCTGGCCCATTTACCTAGTAATGCAAGAAGGTGTTAGTTTTGAATGGGTTCCAGAATGAGGAAAGACTCTGAAACACATCCATGCTGTTGTTTAAACTACTCTGCCATTTAGATTATATGATGATCCAGAAGATTCAATGGGGCTTGAAGTGTCAGTAGCAAAGAGTGGTGCTGTTTGGACATTTTAGCAGTCCCTTATAGATATATAACAGTGCATATCTTTGAGAATTTATGACTAATCCCTGCTATGCTTTATGGATGATTAATCTCCTCTTGAGTCAAAGTGTTTGTTTTTTAATTTATTGGACTTTAGTAGAGATAGAGCAATTACTCACTTACCATTAAGTTACCATGTAACCTGAGTGATCTATCATGAACTAGTTGAACAGGAGCACTTCAACTTCAAAGGCAAGGTGCATGCATGAAATAGGGATACAGCAGGCTTTGAAGGAAGAAGAAAGTTACAAAATGAATTGGCCCATATACCTCTGGTTCCTACTACTTCTACATTCCCTTCCTTTTTTTCAGCCAACACATATGGCCTCATTCAGGAATTAACTAAGAAGGAAAAAATATGGCCCTGGTTGATAGGTCTCTACATGATATATAGACACCACTTGGAAATGGGAAGCTGAATATAACCCCATTCTAGAACCTCCCTGAAAGACAGTGGTGAAGGAATGTCCACCTGGTATGCAGAATGTTGAATAGCGGACCTGGTTCATTTTGTTCAGCAGAAGTAATGGCCAATTGCTTGCCCTGGTGATCAAGGATTTGGAAGAAATATAATTAGGAAGCTGGCAAAATGAAGATCTGGCAAAGGGATGTGGGGGACTGACCCCTCTGAATGAGTAACAATGGTGAAAATGTTTGTGTCTCATATAAATTATCACAACAAAGTGATCTCCATAGTGAAGGAGTTTAATAATAAAGTGGATAGAATGATTTATTCTCTGAATCACTCCCCAGTCACCTTTTCCTATCGTCAGTCAATAAGCCCATGAATTAAGTGGCCATGGTGGTGGGGATGGATGTTATGCAACCCTCATGGACTTACACTCACCAATATCAGCTTTAGACAATGCTGAGTGCCCAATCTGCCAGGAGCAGACAGCCACACTGATTCAGGTAGAATTTATAAATTGCTTCTATCATGCAAAGGGAAGTATTAATTCAGACTAGAACTTATACCATCTGCCTCTCTGATTTTCATGCCTTTTGGAACTAGACTAAATTACACCATTGGTTTTCTGGTTCTTCAACTTGTAGATGGTAAACCATGGAACTTCTTGGCCTTTATAACAACATGGGATAATTCCCATTTTATATATGTATTTTATATATATATATATATATATATATATATTTATTAATACTATATATATATATATATATATATATATATATATATACCATTCTTAATTTTCAATAAAAGACCATAATAATGTCATACGTGGGTGGAAGAGTTGTTAGATGATGTTCAGTTTTGTGTGTATTATTCGGTTTTTTCATAGGAATGGAACCAATGGTATGCATATGGAGATCCATATAGATATGTTGTGTGTGTGTGTGTGTATATATATACACACATATATATATGATACATGTGGTATATATATATGTAGTATATATGTATGGTATATATATGATATATAAATGATGTATATAAAGTATATGTGTGTGTGTGTGTGTATACCATGTCTCTATATACATACCATTGGTTCTAAAAGTGAACATCATCTAACAACTCTCCATTCACCTATGACATTATTATGATCTGTATTTGGAGATTAAGAATGGTTTACAGAGATATCTATGGTTGATAAGGGCATACTCTAATGATTAGATTGTGTTAACTTGACTCAGTTAATCAAATGCCCAATTAATCTAATATTAATGTCTATGAAGGCATTTTGTAGATGTGGCTAACATCTACAATCAGTTGATTTTTAGTAAAGGACATTATTATCAATGGTGAGCCTCATCCAATCAGTTAAAAGACCTTAATAACAATATTGAAGTTATTCTAAGGGGAAAAACCTTCTGTCTCAAGACTGTAGCATTAGCATCTGAGAGTTACCAGTCTGTTGGCATGATCTGCAAAGTTTGGACTATCTATCTATATATATATATATATATATATATATATATATATATATATATATATATATATATATATATATATGTGTGTGTATAAATTATTTTTTAACATGACAATGG